AACTTCGAGTGCAAATCGAGCTTCAGTCGAACTCCATAAAACGAACACAAATAGAAGTATGGGTACTCACTCCATAAAAGAGAAAGCTTCCTGTGAATGAGTCCTGATGAATAGTGCAACGCAGACTATTTATGCGGACCGATAATACCCACTATTCGAGGTAAACACGGAATAGTGCGCACAGGTGAACGACAATCAGCCGACTAGTCAATCACAACGTGCCAAAGTGTTAGGATCGGGCGGTTGACCACCATCAAATATGAACCGTTTCTACGTAGTTTTACCAGTCCGTTCCTTGTGGATTGTTTTCTTTTTCTTGTGATTGGTTTGGATTTTTTAGAATCAGGTTATTCGTATAAACTTCATTTTCTCTCTATGTTGGATGATATCTGCGTGCGCTCGTGTGTACGTGTGTGTAGTTGTTCTAAAAGGTCATACGATCCACCTTATGTGCTGTTCTCTCCAAAATTGTGATGAAACTAAATCATAAAGATCAATGCTGAATGTTGGATGTCAGTACCAGTTGCAGAAACAGTCATTGATACTCAGGTCAGATTAGGGTGACGCAAAACTCTCGGACTGAAAACACATCGACTCAGAAGAGTTTGAAAAAAATAGTGTGCTCTCACTAGGCTAACCGTGATCTGAGGTTGATATGCCTGAAATGTTAGTGTTTGCTCCAGTTTGAGCGAAAGGACTTCACTTTTTCAGAATTACGTTAGTTCACGTTTTGTGCCTCCTCAAATGACGATTTACGGAATATGTAAAGATGAAATTTACCAACAAGGTGGTTAAAACCTTATTATATACACGTGGTTTTATCCATTCAGTGGACCTTCTAGATCGATGGGTTTGCGGCGCTCAAAGAAATCGGGAATCTTTGTCTAGGATGAACAAAAAATTAAAACAAAATAAACGTTTGCATATCCGAAACACTTAAACAAAACAAAAAGAAGTAATTCTAGTTATGAGTTAATTAGAGATAATGCCAACAGCATATGGGTTCCAATGGAGTTTTCCGATTGGAAGACTTGCAAACGTTATGCAAGAATTGTATGCCATACATAGATGAGCGCGCAGCATGACTTTATTAATCATTTACCTTTAGGGATTTGACTTGATCATGCTAGAAAAGCAATGAATTTTGTCAAAAACAAAACAAATAAAACATCAACTGAAAAGCTGGCTAGCTGTTCACAGGGGCTTTTTGCCTGTTGGATCTCTTCAACTTTACAACACAAGTGATGATCAAACACCAAGTCGTTTCATGAGCAGAACGCAGAACGCACACTAATAACTTGGCTGCCACCGGGGCTTGATTAGCCTGTATCATTTGTCTATACAGGATAAAGCACATGTCTACTTTACCGCATTGCTGCTTGCATCTAACCGTAGTTAGGCCAGTACCAGATTCTGGAGTTGTGACTCTGAACAAAGTATTTCATACCCTATGCCTTGTAATAAAAATGAAAGTGAATTTCATTGCGATTTTGTTCCTCAAAATCACTTCTCTACATTCGTTGGTCACTGACCGTTTCCATCACTGGTCCATAGTAGTAAATACTTCCGGACGACGTTTTGCGCTCACAGTTTGGTGTTCCACTTTAACGAGGAATACAATGAATAGTCTAGCATTTCTCCACTGGCTGCGTTGCAAGCAAATATTTTCACGAGCTCGAATGGAGGCAGGCATGAGAGGGATTGTTGAAGAACAGAGCAGTCAAATTCGGATCGTAGTCAAATACAAACTTTCGGGTAAGGAACAAACCTGACCACCGAAAGCCAATGTGTTCACTTAGTTTTACTTAGAGGCGAAATTTTTCAAGCAACTGATTGAGGGTATACCCATTGCATTCAGTTGATTCAAATATTATGATGAATATTAATTAAAAAACTGAGAAAAGACATCCATTTTCAGCTTAATTGCCGTAACTCTATATGTTTTGAATTCGGAAAAAATGGTGCTCTGCATCCGTCTTAGTCGTCGAGATCGCACATCTTATTGTGAAACTGAAAATATTGACAATCGTCTTCTGCCCTCCGCCTGATGGCATCGCCAGGAGGCGTGGTCCTGGTGTGTTTCTCGTCGAAAGACTCACAGAGGGAATTTGCAGTTTCTTCTGCCCTCACATAATATTTGGTTCAAACGAAAGTAACATGTACTCCTCAGTAAACACCTGCGGGGTGTGTTCGTCCGATGGAATTGTTGAGAAATGCCTAGGCCATAATTTTTGAATGCATACATTCATGTTACTCGATTTAAACTAGCGAAGATATTCTCTCGGAAATCCACCATATTACGATCATTGCTTCCACTTTTGGAATACTCTGCATTTTATAAATGTTGGAAATCCTCCGTTTGTCTTAGAATGGCTAACATTTTTATTGATAACCTTAAAATGTAGTACAAATGTTGACTTTATTGTGGAACATAATTCCGTTAGGGTTGACTGGTGTTCAGCATAATTTCAGCTTATTTCTTCGTTTTGACTGAATTCATGGGGGAGTGTAAAACGGCACAAGTGTGTGTAAACAATCTCTGAGCTATCAATTAACTTGCTCTTCACTGATCTTCTCACCTCCATTGTGTTTTACGCAATTCAAATTAGGAGCCGTAGATAAGCACCGAAAAGAATGTTTGTTCGAGTGGATTGATCCTAGTGAAATAATAGAACTTCAGCTGAATCAGAATTTCTCACATCGTTATTGGTGGACTCGGGAGACTTTGGGGTTCACCCACTGAATACATTTTGTCAAATACAGCTGACCGAGATGGCTGATGATTTGAAACCGGAAAATGTCGAACCATACCAGGTGATAGATTGATGGGGTACAGAGTTCACAACCCCGCACTGACGGATTCAAGTAGTCATGAGCAAAGTGCGTGGGTACCTTATAAGGATGAACTGTGCTACTCTGAATTTTCGATCGCATACATTTTGCAGTAAACTATTTCAGACGAACAAAGAAATATCGGCTTTGAAATTAATCATTCAAACATGGTGGTGGATAAGTGAGTTATGTTTGGTTACGGATTAAGTTCAATTTAAACGAACAAAACTGGTTCAAGCAGTGTAGTGTATGGGGTGGGGGAAGTTCATGTTCCACATACTATGGCATCAAGCGTGATATACACACTACCACAGCAACAACTCTTAAGTCTCAATTGCTGTAGAACACAGTTTTAGTTTCCAGCGGAAAATAATTAGAGCTTCTAAAAGTCGTGACATCCATGAACTTCGAGGTCGAGTAATGTTTCGAAGAGCTGTTGGTGCACTATCCTGGTGACCGGAATCTAAATGGTGCCGTGCAGAAGCATTGGACTGTAGTTTCCCTCCATGAAAACCATGGTTTATCGGGACATGTTCAAACATTGTGAATTGGAGTACAAAATTCCATTTCCTGACTTACAATTTCGACCGTTGTCAGACGAGAATCCTCAGATATCCAAGTATGGAAAGTCTACATGAACAGACAAGGCCCCAAGGCATCATTTACATTCTTAAAATCAAAATATTAAATCGTTGTTAATGTCCTTCGGTTGCCCTTATTCAGGTTCTACTTTCCTCTGATCACGGGTTATCAAAAAAGCATATCCATGAGTGCATCCAAGAGGTGAAACGTGGACTTCTAGAATTGAAGTCAGTACCATTGAGTTTGAAAAATGTTATAGAGACAAATCCGCATCAGTTACGATATTATAACCAAAAAGTATTGAATGTAAGTCCAGTTTATTTTCCATTGATTTCAATGAAGAGCTTTTCACTGGTAATGGGCTGTTGTTCACGTTTATATTTACCGCCTCTCAGGTTTCTTAAATTGCATTTTAGCTTACAGGTAATTGTAAGTAATCAATCGGTATAGATGTTGTTTATTTGGACTCATCATTCGTCCTTTGTCTTCATGCACAGCGGTATACTGCTAACAAAGCTGATCCTCGCACCCCGCTAGTTCGGAATTGAAATCCGTCATAAGCCTTTGGATGCGAGCCGCTAGTGGGCTCTGATGGCAACAAAATCTCAAGTTTGTTATCTACTGACTTCATGGTTGGCCGGATGAGCTGAGGATTTTGGCAGAAAATGAGTTCATTCAGAATGACTAGATGTATAGTTTATACAATCAATTGCTTGAAAAACTGATTCTACGAGCCCATACAAAGATTTCATACTAGGAGGTAAAATTTGGTACGTCAAGCGGATTGAGTTTATCTGTTATGCTTTAGCATATTCCGTCACGTTTCCGCTGTTTCCAGTAATTAAAATATCTGCGTGAAATCGGATCCAATTTTTTCATGCGTATCGTCGTCGGATTGTGTGAGTCGTTCCACATTCTCTTCTACCCGTAACTCTGAACTGCCCCCAAATCGGTGTTAGAACCACACGTCACACAGAGACCTTTTGTTTCGGATAATCACCAGATTCCTACGCACTGTTTTAGTATGTAGGTTAAACTTTTTGCTATGAAACTATTCACTCGCCTAGGGGGAACATGCGAAATCCTGACACTTCCGTGTGTGTGTGTAAGTGCGCGGTAAATCACCTGACACTCTGCAGCTACTTCCACCGTTTGGCAAAACTACACTGTGCTTTTTGTGCATTTTTTTCTCACTGAAATCCGTGAATTCTTATGCACGATACCAAACACAAAATTTTACTTCCACTCTTCTTGGTGTACTACTACAAATGTCGCAGTTGATGATCTGATTCACGATGATGGGTTGTGCGGTGATCGATGAATTCGTTCGTGACCATATCGAGCCGACATGCGGAACAACCAATCATATCATTCCCGAGGTGTGCAGGCTTCACGCGTTCCTGTATGCATCAGAATAAATGGACCAATGATCAATCAGCTTTCGCGGAACGACTCAATGATAGAGACTGACAGAAGAACAGTCAGACTGACACATCCGTCATTCAAATAAGTCCAGTAGCGCGTACAAGGTTATTTAAATTTGACCACCAATTGCTGTTTGTGTACCGCCACTGTGGATTTGTTGAATGTCTACGGAACCTTCACGCGCATCACAATCCCCACCAGCGATGGAGTAAGTCCGAATTCCATTTCTGTCAAATTATCTTTTGCCTTGTGTGAATAAGACATCCTTGAACATGCTAATCGTGGTATTGCATTCTGGTATGATATATTTCCAGACCTTTATTTTGATAGTTTTGTTATGGCATACTTTTCTGTAAAACTAAAACAAATTATCAATTATACCTTTTTTAATTTTTAGTAACACGGATATTGAACTGGTGTTCCGAATGATTGACCGCAACAACAGTGGCAAAATCAACTATCGCGAGTTGCGAAAGTTCTGTAAACAATATCATAGTCAGTGGTCAAAGAAAGAAGTGAAAGCTTTGCTTGCCAAAATCGATGTAGACGGAGATGGAAAAATTACTTTAAACGAACTAAAGGCTGCCATTTTCACAGAGGCTTTCTGATCATTCGGCCTGGAAGTCGCACAGTTCGGATGCCGTCGGAAATTCGGTTTGCTCAGAGCTTTGTCCATGTGACGATAATGATGATGAAGATGACACCCCAGAGCTGATACGCACAAAAACATCGATTATTTACAATTGTATATATGTATATTTTTGCACTGTACAATCAATATTACTTACAGTATTCCACTAGAAAGGTTTTTCTTTTATTAGAAAAGTTCAAATATTTATGAGCAGTGCGGAAGAAATGACAAGCAATGCAGGACATCTATTGCAATAGGGTTTGAATGAGCGTTTAGTCTACATCTGAAGCACGTTTCGTACTCTTTGTAAGGATCAGCTGATGTAGTTGTTAGCGTATTGGCGTTTTTGGTTTCAAAAATATAATTATTCGGTTGCACAGAATACAGTTCACATTAATGATTTAATACTATGGTAACTAATGGAATAATTGAAACAGCCCGAGTGACTACCGCATGGTGAACTGGATTGTATATTTGCGATTTGATTGTGGGAAGGGATAGATTACCACTGTTGCTTAAACTTTAGTGCATCAAACCAATTGAGTAGTGTTCAAAAATACAAAATACATTTATTGTATGTCGATTGTACATTCCGATTTTGGATATGAGACGATTTTGCATCGGGCACAGGATGACATCCGCTTTTTGCACTCGCAACGCCTCCCGAATAGCTCTACGTTGTTCCTCTGCAGTATTCTCAAACGTCCGACCTGAAATCTCCATTTAATTATCGTCTGTTTGGGACGGATCGTCTTCAGTCATCACACTGGATTCACACCGGTGCCATAGTAGGTGAAAAGCTTGGACAAAAGGCATTTGGGAACAAAGCGATGGATTGAACGGATGGATGAGTAGTGCCTTGGTAGTTGCTAGATGTTGTTGACAAACAGCCTTCTATGGATTAGGAGGCACATAATGAATCACCTTCTTCTTCACATCTTCACTCAATGAGTGTCCGTAAGTGCGAGATGTTTCACGGTGGCACTGGAAAAGGCTTTCTCATCAACGGTAGCCAACCAGACTGAGTTGTGTACCGTGAACTCTTGGGAAATGTGCCAGGCGGTTCTACCTATTTAGCTCAGTTCATTTCAGTTTAGTTTGCATAGAACAGGAAATAGCCAATCAATCCTCCAAAGTTCTTTTGGCGGTATGAAAAGATTCGGCAGCCATCACTGTTTAATGTAATTCACTAGTTGTCTGGCTAAAATGAAAAGGAAAGGACAACTCGTCTCATCTGATCGGTGAGAGACGGTAAGGTAGATGCGCGTTCATTCTGTTCCCTTATGGGAGAGCTAGATCAGTACTCAACCCAGAAACTATTTCTCTTCGCCTTCGATCTTCGGCTAGCTTAATTATTTCAACTGCCTGAATTTCGATTAGCTTTTCTGGTTTTCGGTTCCATAACTTCACTACTCGACTGCTGAAGACATGCTACCTTGCTCCGACCCTGGACCGAGATTTCCTT